CTTTATGTAGTATTACTAGAAAGTTTATATAGTATGATTATAGTTTATAATGCTTGACCTCAAAAACCAGGATGATTAAGTGTGCTCAGTTTTATTTTTATTGATATAATGTGTTAATATATTTTAATCCTGACAGCTCATGTTGGAGAGAATGATCTAATTTGTTTGTTTTATTTTTTTAAAGTTTGTCATCTTAAAGTAGGATTTAGTGGCACATAGCGGCAGAGCTGCAGATTGCAATCATTTAGAGAAACGTGGCCATGAGACAACGTGCCCTATATAGAGCCAGTGTTAAGTTTGTCCATTTTGGGCTCCTGTATAAACATGTCGGACTCTGTAGAAGGAGATCTGCTCCCTCTGTAGATATAAACAGCTCATTAGGTAAAAAATTATTAATTTGAGATTATAAAAATGACTCACTCAAGGTAATGAAAACAATTCCATGTATATCTTTTACTATATTCAGTTTCTGCCAATAGATCCTCATGTTACACACTGGACTTTTTAAATAGTCAAATGTGCAGCCTCAGATGTAGACTACAAGGTTTATGTTGTGCAGGATTGCATTTAAAAAGTGCTTTAAGGGTTTTAAAGCCATATGAACAGGAAGAATGATAACTATGGCTGACAATATAAACCTTTAACAACTTTTAATTAATTCAAAAGAGACAAAGTCAAATGCATTTGATAGTTTGTCAATTTATTGCATTAAGGCATTTGATACAATATAGAATAGCCTTTTCATATTGGCATCAACATGACGTGTAATTACTTTGATAATACAGAGTTAGGGTATCATATTCAATCTAAAACATGCAGGTTTGAACTCAACATTCAGAGGCTAATGTGCCAATAGAAACCTGCTCTGCTGTGCAAAGCAAAGCACAAAACATAGACCAGTGAGAGCTACTACATGATGACCCACCACCGACAGTTAATACAGTGTAAAACCAGTGAGAATACATACATCAAACAACTTTATCATAGATGATGGTACAAAATCTGTATCAACATTTACACCAACATTGACTGTCACTGATGAACTGGACAGTTTCCACGCTCGTGTTTGTTTCATTTGTGTTGGCATTGTGCAAAATTGGTTTAGGTAATAACATAGAAGGATAACACAGTGAGAGGAAAAGCATACAGTACAGATACAGAGTCATACTGACACTAGCAAATGTGAACTACAGTCTGGAAACTGCATCACATCTCCCAAAAAGACACACATTTGTGTGCAAAACAAGCATTAAAATGTACAGTGTTTTCCCCTCAAAACAGGTACAGTAACAGCACATGAACCTCAAGCACAAATAAAATGAAACTGCTTGTTAGAGGAATATTTTATGATAAAATATACCCATTAAGTAGAAAAATAGACCAAGAAAAGTATGTGTAAAGCTTTTGTAGAAAAACACCATTCACTGACATGGATATGATTATTTGGCCAAATATAAATGTGTTATATGGAAAGTAACCGTAAGGCTATAAGATGATTGTCAAGGGGAATACGAGGCTAGATCCTCTCAGGAAGAGACTTACTTAATAGCTTGCATGGCTAACGTTTTTAACTATGTCTGCATGCTGACTGCGGCCGTTATAATATTTCCCTCCTGGCACTCTTACGTTCACTCAGCTGCAGGCTCAGACACTTCGGTCTGCACGTCCACTTCCTCGTCGCTGTCCAGACCAGAGCGATTCGTGTTACGCCGCACATTGAAGGGCAAGTCACGCCTTTAAAAAACAAACAATTAATGGTTCAAACACAGTCAGGTGCTGCACAAATACGGAACACAAGTAGAACAAATGAGGCATAATGCGAATATTTTAAAGACTAGAATTGAGTGTATGGTCAAAACTTGGAAAAAACAAAACACAAGATGGGGGACTTTAAAAATGATGGTTAAAGACAAAACAGCAGAAATCAAGATATCCTGACATTTATTCCATGGAACAGTTCAAACTCCACGGATCCTACAGTTCCTATTTAACAACTTGTGAGAGCACTACACTCACAGAGCTCCTCCAGAGCCACAGGCTGAATAATAATGTAAAATGTATTTAGTTATCCTTTAAAGTGTTAAATGCTCCACTCTCAACTGAGATGAAAACCATTATGCATTAAGAAGAAGTATAAATGAACGTTAGAAGCCTCTACCTGAGCTTGCTCTTCAGGGTGCTGACTTCACGGTTCATAACGTCTGCTGACTCAGTGGCATCGTCCAGCTCCCTCTGCAGCTTCCTGCGGTAGGCGTTGGCTCGTGTCACCTCCTCTTCTGCCTCCTCAAGCTGACGCTTCAGCTGACGCATTCGGCTGTTTGTCTTCTCCACCTGCAGAGAGAGGGTTCACTTAGTTTGGAGAGCACCAAAACAGGTGCCAAAAACTACAATATTCAGTATCAAACTACACAATGAGACGCCTCTTTTCTTACTTTAATAATGTAGAAGTTAAAAGTAATAGGAGATTGGCGATGAAGCTTACCTGGTCTTTGTATTGATCTGTGTTGCGCCTCTCGTCATCGACTTGTATCATCACTTCTTTCAGCTTCTTCTCTGTCCGCCTGGCCAGCCTGGAGGCCTGCTGACGCTCCCTGAAAAGAGTAGAAAGGCAATGAGGAATTAATACACAATCTCTAGACTCTGAAAGTATAAATAGAACAAAATGTATGATTGATATACCTGATTTAGTAAAGAACAGATGGATACTGAGTTGATCAATATAAGAATCTCTCTCTCTCTCTCTATATATATATATCTATATATCTATATATCTATATCTCTATATCTCTCTATATCTCTCTATATCTATATCTATATCTATTTTATATTGATCAACTCAGTATCCATCTGTTCTTTACTAAATCAGGTATACACAGACAAATTACTGAAACTTAGGATCTAGAGCTGCAGCTCCTATCAAAGAAGATGGAGGTCATGACTGGTTTTCACCATCTGAATTAATTCTGACTAGTTTGCCAGCAGACCACAATAGTTATCAAAGTGTCCATTGCACTGGAACTCACTTTGACTCGATATCGAGCTGGTCTTCCAGCTGAGCGATCTTGGCCTCCAGGGTGGTGATGGAGGATTTATATTTGGACTTGATGGTTCCCTCGAGCTCCTGCAGCTTCAGTTTCAGCTCCTTGTTCTGGCGATCCAGCTGGGAGCGAGTCCCCTCCAGCCGCTGGGAGGAGCTGCGCTCTGCAGATAGCTCTGTGGTCAACTGCTCAGCCTAAAGTCAGAAACAACAACAGAGGCATTGAGTTAAAGTAATGTAGTGATCTCTGTCATCCTGGGAGCTTTGGTACTTAGTGATGTGTTTTTTCCCCTGAGAATAATTCAAGTCCTTTCTGAGGATTTTATCCTGATAAAAGTGTTATTTTTGTTTTCTGTAACTACAGTGTTCTTCTGTTTATTCCAAATAAAGTTTTATTACTGATGCCAGAAGTTTAAACATGTTCCCTCCATTCCACTGATCACAAAATGTTTTCACCTACTTGCAAACAAAATGATCAGCTGCTACGATTTGTCTGAAACATATCTGAGACACTGTGTGTCCTTACCTGCAGAGTGGTTCTCTTCAGACGATCGTTGACCATCTCAGTGTTCAGCTGCTCTTCCTCCAGCTCCTCCTCCAGCTGGGTGATACGAGCCTCCAGCCTCCTCTTCTCATCTGCCAGCAGAGTACTGGCAACAACAAGTGAGGAAGAGGAGTGACAATAGATGAACGAATGAAACCTACAAGTTTGTCTTTAAATGCATAAGCTGACCTTGCAGGGAAACAAGTACACACTCTATACACTTCTGTCTTCATGTACTCTTTATCTTGTGGAACTACAGTATGAGGGACATATTTAGATACATTTGTCGGTGTCGGTTTATTTACTAAAATACGATCTTAAAAAGTATCTGTCGCTGTTGGTTTCATACTTCTTGGTGTTGTTGCTGTTAAGCTCGTCCTGGAGCTCATCTCTCTCGGTCTGAACCTGTCTCTTGAGTTTCTCTGCATTGGCCAGATCCTGGAGGAATCAGAAGAAACGGGTATGTCAAGACTTGGTTGTTGGGACAGTTCACATGCACAGAGAATGAGCAGGCACAGGAGATGGCCTTTTTTATGGTTACCTGTAAACAACGTGGTAATTTAAGTTAATCACGTTTTCCAATGTAAACATGCTTCATAGTAGAACATGGTTAGAATCACAATATATAGTATCATCCAATTAGGTCACATGGCTAAAAACATTCAATTATGAACTGCTTGACATTTGTATAGATGTTTTTTGTTAGATATTAATGCATAATTACCATCCTATAATATCCCATGTAATACTCATCTTCTATTATATCTAGTTGAGTCTATAACTGTAAGAACTTTCCCCACATCCAGTCCTGTTTTGTAGTTTTAAGTTCTTATTTTCATTATTACTTTCATACCTCCTGGAAGTGCAGGGCGTCTGCCTCCATGGCCTTGAGCTTCTTCTCTGTCTCCTTGGCCGCATTGACGGCTTCGTCTCTGGACAAACGCAGGTCATCCAGCTCTCTCATCAGATCTTTCATTTGGGCCTGGAGAGTACACATGCAGGCAATAGTGCTGTGGTTATACACCCAACATTGTGGACCACTTGGGCAATACTTTTTGCTTGTGTGCACTGTCTATTTTACCTGGAGTTTTTTCAGCTGTTTGAGGGCGTCATCACGGCCCCTGTTGGCAGCATCGATCTGGAGTTCGAGCTCAGTCAGGTCCATCTCCAGTTTCTTCTTGGATGAGAGGGCCTGAGTACGCTGCCTGCGTTCATCCTCCAGCTCGACCTCCATCTCACGCACCTGAGAGTAAATAGGATATTTAGTCAGTCAAACCACGATTCAGCATTTTCTTCCGCAATGGTACTTGAACGTTTTATTTACTCTACAACCATACAGTGGTTTGTCAATCAATCAATCTGAATCAGAATCAATCTGATTCTGATTCTGATACAGTGGTTTGTGAATGGTACCTGTTTAACCAGCTGTTTCCTCTTCTCCTCTCCCTGCTCGTCTCTGGCTTGCAGGTCTCTGTCAAACTGGGCCTTCATGGCCTGCATGTTGACCTCCAGACGCAGTTTGGCATCCTCCGTGGCCTGCAGCTCATC